GTAATATTCTGCAACCAGTTATTGCCATCGGGCTTGAATTATTTACTTCCACAGCGCCAAGAATTTTGTGTCCAATCTATCGATTTTGTATTAACACTCATTTTCCTCTGCCTTCCCACTTACCTCCCCTTGTATAGTCCTCAACCTCCCAGACCTAGGAAATAGGTCCCTAAATTTCTCTACCTCTCAAGACTCGTTCATTATACTTTGGGTTGTCATTGGCTTAATGTTCTCCTAACATCTGCTTGTTAATGGCCTCCCCCTTCATCAACATTTCTTAGTGGCTCTGTTAAGTTACCCTTCTATCCAAGATCCTTCCTAAATCCACTGCAATCAGTGTTTCCAGTTTTAGAGCCCACAACTCTCCATCTATTTTAATCTATTAATGTATGTCAGTCACTTTTTAAGTGCTTTATAAATTAACCTGTTTAATCCTCATAGTAGTCCTATGCTATAGATTCTATTTTTATCTCCATTTTATGGATGAGAAGACTGAGACCAAGAATAAGTCACTTGCCCAAGGTCATTTAGCATGTGTATATCAAAGCCAGGACATGAACCCTAGAACTATTGTAGTTCTACAAGCCCTAATTCCTGGGTATTATTCAACCTGCCTCCATGTGTATAAACTATACTCCGTTACACAAAATAGTATAATGCTGCATGGCATTTGTACATCATTTTACCATTCACAAAACTATCTTCATATACTTTTTTTCCCCATTTGATCCCTTTATGATCCTTTAAGAGAAATATTAGCTCCATTTCCCAACTCCCCCCTCCCGCCCCCCGGGGCGAGAAACTGAGTTTTAGGGATGTGTTCCTGGGTATAGGGCAATGCTGCCAGGTCTCAGAGTTCAGAATATTATACTTCATCTAATGAAAACCTTCATCTTACTACCATTCAGATTTTAGGGAGAGGTCATTCAGAGTATCAGATTTGGAAGGACTGGCTTGAAATGAAAGCCTGTGTGAAAACAATATGAAAGCACACATTCTTGAAATATGAAAATCAGTGCTGAAGTGAAGGAAAGTGGACTGGAAGGCCAAGGTTATTTAACACAAAGTGATAAAGCAAAAATTTCATTGCTTTTTGGTGACAAGGATAATATGCTGGGCTAGTGAAGCAATGCATTCCTTCTGCTAAATTCAAAAGCTAGTTTTTTGGAATCATTGTTAGAAGATAGAATGTGTGTGTCTGTGTGTCTGTGTGTGTATGTGTTGGCAACAAAAGTAGTCAAGTACTCTGAGGAAAGCGTCCTAGGCGCTTCACTGGGAAATGAGGACTTCTGAGGAATGCACTAACCACTCTGCTTGTAGACTTTCCAGCCAGTGAGCTGCAGCCTCCAGCTGGGTTTCTGACCTCCAGCCCAGCCATCCCCTCTCCCTGCAGACAGGCTGGCCCCCAGCCCAAACCCTGCCATCTATTTTGAAACCAAGGGACCTCCCTTGAGTTCTGTATAGGTTATTCCTCTAATTCCTCCAATTCCGACCCAAAGTTTTACATCTATCTTCCAGTCCCTGGCACCACATGTGTAAATGTAGGGCAGAATTTACCCCCGCCTAGAGTCTCTGTTTAATGTTCTCCATCCTTAAATTCATCTATTTTAGCTTTACATTTAAGAAATCCTAATCTAAGTCTCTGTATTTAATGGTGAAATTTAGGTCTGTTTGATAAAACATGAAAATTGTACCTCCCTCCACCAAATTTGACTTTGGCTTTGTAATAAAGAGTGACAGACCTGTTTACTAGGCATCCTCATGTGCAAGACTTGGGCAACTATCCTGTAATTCTCTGACACAGGCAGATCACTGCTGCTTAGCAGTTCATAATATAGGCACAGCTAAGAAGATGTGGCTAATTCTTGGAAGACTTTGGGAAGTTGCATGGAAAGGAGGCCCTCTGTGTTTTTGTTCATGAGGGATATCAGCGTGTAGTATTTTGTAATGCCTTTGTCTGGTGTTGGTATCATTGTGATACTGGCCTCATAAAATGAGTCAGGATATGCTCCTTTTTTTTTTAATTTTTTTTTTTTTTATGTAAGAGTTTGTGCACAATGGATATAGTTTTTTCCTTGCATGTTTGTTAGAATTCACCAACAAAGCTGTCTGAGCTGGGGTTTCAGGAAAAGTTTTTTAGGTATAAATTTAATTTCATACATAATTTGAATATAGGCTTCAAATGGAGGGCTTTATAAGTATCAAGTCTCAAATATTGTTTCTTCTCATTTCAGTGTTGATACTTTGTATCTTTCAAGAAATTTTTTCAATTTCATCTGTGTTGTTGAATTTATTGTCATGAAGTTATTTACAATATTTCCTTACTTTGCGTATGTAGAAAGAAAGTCTGTGGTGAGGTCTGTTCTTTTGTCCCTGGTGTTGATACTCCATATGTTCTCTGTTTTCTGGTCATTCTGGTGAAAGATTTGTCAGTTTTACTGATGTTTTCATTAACCAGTTTTTAGTTTCACTGATTTTTTATTCTTTTTTCACATTACTGATTTCTGCTTTAAAAAATCATTTCCTCTTATCATTTGAGTAAAATTTGTTCTTTATCTTCTAGTTTCTTGAAGTAGGAAATGAGATAATGTATTTGATTTAGTATTTTTTTTCTTTTCTAATATAAGCATTTAATGCTATGAAGTTTTCTTTAAACATTGCTTTAGCTGAAAGCTGCAGTGCTGAAATTCTAACATGTTGGTTTTTAATTTTCATTAAGTTGAAAGTATTTCCTGAATCCTCTGTAATTTCTTTTTTGACTCCTGAGTTATTTGTAACTTACGTAATGTGATTTCCAAGTATTTGGGGATCCTCCAGATATACCAGATTTCTGGTATTGATTTCTAGTCTAATTCCACTGTGGTTAGAGAAGTTACTTTGTATGATTTTAGTTCTCTTAAAATTGTTGAGACTTATTTTATGGCTCATCATATGATCTATCTTTTGAATGTTCCATGTATGCCTCAAGAGCATAGTGTTGAATGGAGTTTCCTGTGAATATCCATTAGGTCAATTTGGTTGATGGTTTTGGTCAAGTCTTCTAAATCCTTATGATTTTTTTTTAATTGCTCTATCAATTACTGAAAGGTGTTGAAATCTCCAACTGTGATTATAGATTTGCCTATTTCTCCTTCCAGTTTTGTAAGCTTCTGTTTCATGCATGTTGAAGCATTTTTATTATGTGCCTATACATTTAGGATTTTTGTAGTCCATTGTTATTGTGTGTACCTATGCATCTCCGGTAATAATCCTTATTTTGAACAACTGCTTTGATATGCTTGTAGCCATTCCATATTTCCTTTGATTAACATTTGCATTTGTACTTTTTAAAAATAATTTTATTCTTAGTTTATCCTTGTTTTTATATTTAATTTAGATTATTATAGATAGAATATAGTTGAGTCTTTTTTCCCCCTTTTAATCCAATTTAACAGTTTCTGCCTTTAATTGGGGAATTTTGTCCATCTACATTTATTTATTTATTTTATTTATTTATTTTTAAATTTTATTCTTATGTTAATCCCCATACATTACATCATTAGTTTTAGATGAAGTGTTCCATGATTCATTGTTTGTGCACAACACCCAGTGCTCCATGCAGAATGTGCCCTCCTCAATACCCACCACCAGGCTAACCCATCCTCCCACCCCCCTCCCCTCTAGAACCCTCAGTTTGTTTTTCAGAGTCTATCGTCTCTCATGGTTCGTCTACCCCTCCGATTTCCCCCGCTTCATTCTTCCCCTCCCGCTACCTTCTTCTTCTTTTTTTTTTTCTTAACATATATTGCATTATTTGTTTCAGAGGTACAGATCTGAGATTCAACAGTCTTGCACAATTCACAGCGCTTACCAGAGCACACACCCTCCCCAGTGCCCATCACCCAGTCACCCCATCCCTCCCACCCCACCCCCCAAGTCCATCTACATTTATCGTACTAATAGATATGTTTGAGATTAAGTCCATTCTCCTGCTATTTGTTACGTATTTTACCATCTGTTCTTTACTTGTTTGCTTGCTTGCTGCCTTTTGTGGATTCATTGAATTTTCTAATGGTTCTATTTTATCTTTACTATTGGATTAACAGTTGTTCCTCTCATTTTTTTAGTAACTGCTGCTGCAGTTAATATTATATGATTTTAATTTATCATAGTCCGTACTCAAATAATGTCTTACCACTTCGGTTTTAGTGTGAGAATCTTATTACAGTGTACTTCCAATAACACCTTCTTTTCCTTTGTGGCATTATTTTCATACCTTTTACTTGTACATATGCTATAAACCACATAACACATTTTTATTCTTATTTTTATTATTATTGCTTTAAACAGTCACTTATCTGTTTTGGATATTAAAAATAAATAAAATGTATTTCTATAACAACTTACACATTTACCATTCTTAGCACTCTTCATTCTGTCTTGTATATCTAAATTTTCATGTGCTATTATTTTCCTTCTCTTTGAAGAAGTACCTTCTTAATTTCTTGTAGAGCAGGTCTAACAGTAGCAAATTATCTCTATTTTGTTTCAAATATACCTTTATATTCACTTTTGAAAGACATTTTTTGCTGTATAAAGAATTCTAGGTGGCTCAGTCAGTAAAGCATCTGCCTTCAGCTCAGGTCATGATCCCAGGACCCTGGGATTGAGTCCCATGCTGGGCTCCCTTCTCAGTGGGGAGTCTGCTTCTTCCTCTCCCTCTGCCCTTCCCCCTGCTCATGCTCGTTCTCTCTCTCTCTCAAATAAATAATAACTAAAATCTTAAAAAAAAAAGAATTCTAGGTTGATAACTTTTTAGTATTTTATAAATGTGTTTCTTCATTGTCTTCTGGTTTGCATAGTCTCTGGTGAGATGTCTGCTTTAATTGGTATGTTTGCTCCTTTTTATTTATTATGTCTTTTTTATCTTGATTTTAAGATTTTCCTTATCACTTATTTTCAGTAGTTTTTTTTTTATTTCTTTATCCATTCATCAGTTGAAACACATAACTGTCTTGCAGATTGGCTGTCCTGACCCAACAGTGAATGAGAGTTCCTGTGGCTCCACATCCTCACCAGCATTTGGTGTCGTCGGTGTTCCAGATTCTGACCAATCTCATAGGTGTGTAGTGGTATTTCACTGTTGTATAATTTGCATTTCCTTGATGATATGTGATGTGGACATCTTTTTATAGGCCTAGGTGCCATCTGTGTATCTTCTTTGGTGAAGTGTCTGTTAAGGTCTTTGGTCTGTTTTGTTGATGATGACACAGATGTTAAATGTTATTTTCTAGTGCCTTAGGTTTCTGCAACTGTGTCCACTCACTTTCTTAGTCTGTCTTCTGTCTTGTTCAGATTTGGTAGTTTCTGTTGTTCCCACTTCAAGTTCACTGATTTAATTTCCTCTTTCCCCTCTGTGATTGAGCCCATCCATTGAATTTTTTATTTTGGTTATTGTATTTTTTAAGTTAAAATATTTCCACTTGGTTCCTTTTTATATCTTCTGTTTCTTTGCTGAGGCTTTCTATTTTTAAATTCATCTCAAGCTTGTTCATAACTGCTTTTTGAAGCATTTTCATGATGGTTGCCATAAAATCTTTGTTAAATAATTCTAATTTCTCTGTCATCTTGGTGTTAGAGTCTATTGACTTTTTCCCCCTCACTTAGAGATCTTCCTGTTTCTTAGTGTGATGAATCATTTTTGATAGAAACCTAGACATTTTAAATATTATATTTTGAGATCTTGGATCTTTCTAAACCTTCTGTTTTATCTGGCTTCCTCTAGCACTGTTCCTCCAGGGGAAGGGGGTGACACCACCTCATTCCTGTGGGGCAGGGATAGAAATCCAGGTTCCTCACTCAGTCTTTAATGATGTATGGGTGGGGGAGGGGCTTCTCATTCCTGTTGAGTGTGGGTGGGATTTCTAGCTCTTTACTGTTAGCATCCAGGAAAGGGGTGTTAGGAGTGCCTCATTGCTGATCCTCTTGTGACCTCATTGGACACCTTGGGCAGGTGGCTTCTTTACCACTGAGCACTGGTAAAGTTTCTGTCTGTATTCTAGGTCTCCTTTGGTGCTGCCCCTGTGGTGATGAGGAGGGACATCTAGTTACTGCTGGGTAGGGTGGAAGTCTAGGCTCGCCCAACATGGTCTCCGTGGACTGGCACTGAAGGGGCTGGGGCCAAGGGCAGGGAGAGGGGGAGGGCTTATCACACCACCTGGCATGATGAGTGTCCTGGCTCCCTAGTCTCCTTGTCCACACTACTCCATTGAGGGTTTGTGGGTACCTGATTACAGCTTGCAAAGATGGACGTCTAGCGCCCCCAACTTGGCTTTGTTGGCATGGGTTGGGGTGGGACAAGAATTTTTTCTGTGGTCTTTGGCTGGAATAGAGCAGCTTACGTCTCAAAGTCTTTCCAGGCTGCCTCTTTCCTGGACCTCTGGCTAGAGACTTTTTGGAGGCCCCTTGTTGTCCAAATACTTGGCATTTCTATACTGCTGACTTCTTCAGCCCTGAGTCTGGGATATATGAGGCAACATGAGAACCCAGGGAGCTTCCTCTGGTGTTGGTCTTTGGGTCCCAAGGTCCCTAGCTGGTCTGCATTCCTCTCTCTGTTCTTCAGAGTCCTCTTATGTTTGTTTCATATCTAATAATCAGGGTTTCAGTGTTACATAGTGGAAGAAATAGGGAAGAGTATGTCCACTCTATCTTCCAGAAAGCAAAAGTACTTGAGCTTGTTTTTAAGCTTTTAAAAGGTGCATACAAGGGCACCTGGATGGCTCAGTCAGTTAAGCGTCTGCATTCAGCTCAGGTCATGATCCCAGGGTCCTGGGATCAAGTCCCACGTCAGGCTCCCTATTCAGCAGGGAGTCTGCTTCTCCCTCTGCCCTCCTCCCTGCTGCTCCCCCTGCTTGTGCTCTCTCTCTGTCAAATAAATATATAAAATCTTTTAAAAAGTAAAGGTGAATACAAGCAGACTTTAGTCTGGGGTTAGTTTGATCCCACTACTAAGGTCTTATCTTCCTGAAGTTCCTACTAAATGTCCCACGTATGATAAAGTCTTTCCACTGTGACTGGTGGGGATATACACTCTTCCCACAACACACCTGGATTGACAGTGATAATGGCTAAGATGATCTTTGCTTTAATTTGACTTTTTGTTGTTACTGATGTGGTTCATATGAAAACCAGGTATCTGCCCTTCCATGTCTATAACTTTTCTACTTTGCTATGAGTCGTCTTGTCCTTTAAGATTTACATGGGTTTGGCCTTTCCATCTTTTTTGCTCACAGTGTCTATGGGAATCTTGAGGCTGGGCTGGAAGGTCTACATTTCCCCTGACCACTTCTTCTTCTGTCCTCCTGCTTCCCCTCGATTCTCTCTGCCTACGTTTCCTCACCGTCTGTGCACACTGCTCTTTCTCTGCACCTCCCAAGTGGGTGGAGAACATGTGGGCTCTTGGAACACCACTGACTCAGTGACAGGCTGCAGCCAACTCTGCCCAACTTGGGAAGAACAAGGCGGGGGTTACCTAGAGCAGTAGCAACTCACACTAGAACCCGGTCAGCAACTTAAAATCATGCCTTAGATTTCCCGCTTCTCAGCAGCCTCCTAGCTAGTTTCAACATTGGGGCATTTTCCCTGGTTGACTCTTCTGTTTGGGTTCAAGCATTCTGCCATGTTGCTCAGCCCTCTTTCCTTGAGTTCTTCATCTCTCGTAGCTTCAACCACCGCCCCCAAATTCCTCTGCATTTCTCATGTACAGCTCAGTGGCTCCATCACTGCACTGTGGCCCATTCAGTACCTGCCCAGAGAGTAGCCTCATCTTTCTTGCCAAACATGTTCCACAGACACTGTTTCCTGGAGAGAAATTATTTTTCATCGTTTAGGCTTATATATTGCAAAACTCCAGGGGGCATCTTTCCCATCCTCACAGAAAATATACTATGAATGGGTCCTGGGGTTGTCTGACTTGGAAGCCTAGGTCTTCGCGTACTGCAGATGGTGGCTCTTCGATTGTTAACATATGCCTAGAAAACAGTTTTTCTAGTTTGCCATTTGTCTTAAAATGTTTGTTGTTTTATCCTGCTGTACAAAAATATTTATATACATAAAACCTGCATTTGAAGTTGAATATGTAATTTTTCCTTTATGTGTATTTATTATTCAGCCTTATTTAGAAAATCCTTCTCTACCTAAAGGTTGTAAAATATCACATTCTCTTCTAGTGCATTTCTTTTGTTGCCTTATTTTTATGTTTTTAAATCTGTGAGTCTATTACAAACAAGCTAAAGCCTGCTTTCCTCTCTCACATCCCAAATAACTGTTCTGACATCATTTACTGGTTAAAGAATTCTTCTCTGTCGATGTGAATTGCCACTTTTTTCACATACTAAGTTCTTATTTATAGTTGGGTCTTTATCTTGATTCAAGTTTAATACTAAATTCTTTTCTGAGCACAACCCCTCCCTTAGTTTTGTGTCTCTATATGCGGCCAGCTGCATCCTTCATCAACAGTGTTAATATCCTTCGTGACATCTGATTGTCGATATGTGAGATTATCTACACCTCACCCCACCCTCACCATGACTTTATTTTGTCTCTGTCACTCTAAATGCGTTATCCTGGGGTTCAGGGTCCTAGACTGCCAGAGTTACGTAGGCTCTGAGAGTCATCCATGTCCAGCCCGGTCATGCCACAGATGAGGAATGTCAGGACGTAAAAACTCAGCAGCTTGGCTGTTGGCACAGAGTCAGGGTCAGGGCCAAGAGTTTGGTCGGGGGTGTGTGTCCTTAAAGTGTGTTTTGCTTCCGCCCTTCGTCTTCATTTCTGCAGCATCACCCATACTTGTGCCTTCGCAGTTTCCCTTCACTAGCTGTGCTGGTCCTCTTTTCTCTGCCCCAGTTCATGCTACTGAGAACTTCTAGAATGATCCTTGTAAAGCAGTAAATGTGCAAGGGAGAGGAGAGGACAGCATGTTGCCTGTGTGAAGAGTTATGTGGTGTCATGGCCTGGTGGCCTTTTCTGGGCTATGCAGTGAGTAAGAAGACTGTGTAGTCAGGGCCACCTCGGGGCCCAGACAGCCCTGCACTGGAGGCCCACTGACAAAGTGTGACTTGGGGTGGAGAGGGACATTCTTGCATTCCTGGTGCAGGACTCCTGGGATGCCAGCTGGCTCAGAGCCTGTTGCAAAGTCGGGGGGGCAGACCCAAACCCAGGAGGCTTTGCTCCATGCTGAGGATGGCAGACATGGTGGAGCAGAGATAACAGACCCGCAGGGGTGGTTCCTGGAGGGCGGGGTACACTAGCTGCCCTGTGAGTCATGAGGCAAGAAGGACAAGGGATGCGGGTGGGTGAGTGATGATGCGCTTCAGAGATAAGAGATGTGAGCAGTCTGGCAAGAAGGGGATATCTATGAATGTTGGAGGGGCTGGGAGAATGGCATATGGGATGAAACATGGGCCCTTTCTCAACTGACAAGCGGATGGTGCCTGTTTCTTCACTTGGGGAAGTGCTGGGTCCCAACACTGAAACCGTGTCCTGGTACTTCCTGTGGCACCTGATACCTGGGCCTTGGTTTGTGATAGACTCGGTGACCCTGGAGGCTGTGAAGTGTTACCTGACGTGTTCTCTAGGCCGACCTCGTCAGCTTTATCACGTAGGCTGCTTGGTGCAAAGGAGGACAATGGTGGCTAATGCAGATGGCAGCAGGACTTGTTGAAAGGCTCGTAGTGGCCCTCCGAAGTCTTCCAGAAGTAACAGAGAGGACTTTTCAGGGTGACGTATAATTTCTGCTTTGTGGAGTAGGGGCACAGTATAATTTCACTGATAATGTCACCCCATTTTCCTTCTTTGACTCCATTTTACTAACAAGTTGAGGTGGTTTGGGAATCCTGTATGTTCCCATGGTGCCTTGGACACACCGTGTGTGTTGCTCAGGCTGCATCTATGTCAAGATTGTCACTATTCAGAATATGCTACCCTTGCCCCCAAGCATGTGGCCTGCACTTCTTCAAGGCTGAGTCCTGTCAGGAAGGAACGTGGGAGAAAGAGTTGCAGGAAAGCTTGACAGATGTAGGGAAAGAGGAGAGCATCCCTCTAAACATGCCCTGGAAGCAGATT